TGCTTATCAATAACATCCTTCTTTATTACTGTATATCTCAAAATCTTAAAATAAATACCACTCCTGGCTGAAGAGATAATACTAGAGCTGAACAAACACTTTAAAATGAGAATTCAAAATGTAACATTAATATTTATGTACAACTTGTACCTTAAAGTTGACCTTAATATAAAAATCAACCCATTTTTTTCCAGGAAACGCATTGTTTATGAATACGAACTTTCTAAGATGTGTGTACTCAGTTCTTCATGAATGATGAATGATGTCAACCCCTGTCAGAGGGATCACTTGTTAAGCGTCACACAACGACACAAACGCAGTAAGTTTTTCAGCTTGTGTCAGATCCAAAACTTTTTTCGTAGGACTCGGTTCAACCAGGGAGACTGCAGAATGAGATGAAAGACAGCCAAGACTTTCATCTCAGGAAAGAAAGCCAACTCCACATACAACACACAAATAGTCCCTGTGTTATTTCAGGTCTCAATAGATACTATCAGTGAATCACCACTAAATAGATCCTGTCAGAATCACACATCAGCACGAACAGACGGGGATAAGATCAAAGCATCATGGAGGTCTCAGTAGATTTAGGAGTCCAAAGCATGAAATGTTGCTACAGAGAGACAAATGGTGCCAGCATGGTGTAACAACACTGTCACACAGCTGAGATAAAGATTAAACAACTTCAGTCAAAGCAGACACGGCCAAGCTGATAATGTGAGTAAATCAACAATGTTTTCTGTGCTCAATATGCAGTAAATGCAGCTGCTGAAGCTGTTTGCTAAGACAATAATAGACTTGGCTGAACAGTAAATTGGTGACCATCAGCAGCCTGTCTCTTCGACGTAGTAATTACCATACTGGATGAAGAAAAATCATCTACGAAAAAACATCAAGTTGGCAGGGTTTATTATCGGCCATCACAATAAAAACCACACTAACCACAAGAAATCTTACTACCAAGACCTCTTTTACCATCTCAGCTTGTCGTAGCAGCAACAGACGACTTACAGTGCATCAATATTTCACACTGCATTACTTCTGGTCTGGTGGCAGAGGCAGGAAAAGCCAAAGCAGAGACCCCATGGGCAGACAGCAGAGTTCAGATCGCAGTCAAGCTTCAATCTCACTTCTGGGAGAAAAAACAGCAACCATGTCTCAGAAACAGACAAACACCATCTAAGTTGAGTCGTCAAATTTTCCTCTTAAAGCTTACACACATAACTGGATTCTGAGACTGCTAAGACGATTATTTTTATTAATAAATTAATTTGCAATTTATCTTCTTGGTAAGCCATAATAAATTTATCAATTAATTGAAATGAGTAAAACGATTATTCAATTATCAAAGTAGTTGCAGATTACTAGTCTATCGGCTGATTTATTAATTAGACTAATCTTTGCAGCTCTACTGGATTCCTGAAATGCTAACCCCTTTATTTATTGTCCTTTTTCAAGCTCAAGTTTGATCTCCAGCTCCTATATCTGTGTCTCAAGCTGCTAAAACTTCACCAGCCAGTCCCTAACTTTGTCCATTAGATATTTGATGCTGGGCCGGAAAACAAAGCCTGCTGATCTAATCAACCTCGAAAGGTTGGTGAGAGTCATGAGACTGAACCAAAACAGAGAAGCAAAACCAAAACAATAAGCTGAAAGATGCTAAAACCATATGTAGAGCTGAGAGGAACTGCAGAGTTGCTGATAATTCTGTGTGTTTTGCATTATGAGCCACCACTTTGACATTACACACAGCGATTCATTGTTAAATAATAGATTTCTGCAGCTTTACGTGATGGATACTTCCAACCACCACTGCTTATCCGCTTGAAAAGTAGTATGTTTATTGATAAAAATGCTACCGCTCCAAGGTTCTTACATGCAGCATCTTTTCTTTTTCGTTTCTTCTACAGTGGGTGGTCCCTTGAGATTTACATAAAGTCATCTTGTGTCATTTTACATCTTATAAATCAAACCATATAAAGCTCCCTCTGATACAGCATGTCCTTGTACTCCCACTCGCGCAGGCCATCTGCAACGCATACTGTAAATTAATGAGCGCCCCCTCACCCCAGCTGAGAAACATAATATAAATCCTCCAACAGAGGCTCCCATAGGTAGGGACACCCACACACAAAATCCATCCTATTTCCATATACAGCACACCCAGGCAGACATATCTTCTTTACGAGGTGGAGCTTGCCACCCTCTATCCCCCCTCGAGTGACATGTGTCACCACAGGGAAAGTGACAAAGGGCGCATGTGTGCAGATTTTACATGATGTGACTAAACGCATGTCCAAACAGCCCTCTCTCCACACACACGGCGTACTTAGACACACATGGAGACTGATGAAACGCCTGCTGACACACGTGCACATCCTGCACTCTCACATGCACTCACAAGCCTCCCCTGATGATTAGAAAGTAGGTCAAGGACAACTTTCTACGAGGGCAAAGAGAAAAATAAAATCTGTGACGATAGACTGTCTCTGCAGCACAGAAAAGTGGCCACAGTAAGCAGCGTATACCATTTATAATCCGAGGCAGACTCAGAGCCGGAGATGTGTAAATAAATAGCCAGAGGCGTGACAATTGGGAGAAGGCTTTCAGAGCAGACAATGAGTTCTGTCTATGATGCACAAACTTTCTTAATGAGGCCTAATGAGTTATACGTGCTGCTCCGTCTAATGAACTCTTCAGAGTTAATCGAGTGTGTCCTTTTCATTTCGCTGATAAATAAGTGTACTGATCCTAGTAACCAGTCCAGTGCTGTCAACTCCCATTGGTTGCAGTAAACAGCTCCTCAATAGCAGCTTTAAAAGTCATGTTCAGTATTTGTGTATTTCTTAGCACTGCAGGGTCTGCCATAAATACTTTTTCATAAATATTCTCTATAGCACAACAAATCACCTCATTGTGAAGCAAAACTTGGACCTTGGAGGAGGAATATTCACACGATTCCTCTCTCTCTCTCTCCATCCAACTGCAAGCAAAATTTTTACAACAATTCTTCTCAGGTTGGATCGAGAAAATGCACAGTAAAGCAGCAAACAAACACTAAGAAGTGGCTCATCCTCTGTTAAATTCTCTCCTCTCTTCTCCTCTCTCTGAGTTATTGTGATTCAGGACGTCAAGCAGCATATCCTCCCATCTCTGAAAAATCATCTCACACTGCAACACTCTCAACTGCTCTCATGACATTGCACCGGAGAGCTCGGCTGGCCCTGTTCACTCCACCCCTCCTCTAATAATACTCGTCCTCAGAGGACTGAAGAGGAGTGGAGATGAGTGGAGTGGAAGGTAAGAGCAGAGCCGTCCGATCGGTCTGCCAGTGCCGGAGTTCCCTTCCTCGCTGCAGTGGTAGCCTCTGCCGCAGTGATAGGGAGTGAGGAGGGAGAGGGAGGGGAAAGGTGAGCTGGTAGCAAGCGAGGGGGAGAAGGTAGGGGAAGGAAGGGAAGGAGCTGATGATGTGTATGTAAGTACCCACTGTGTGCCAAAATACACCTATTCAGCAGTATTTCTTCTGCACGGACACTAATCAGATCTCCCATGCTCAGGTCCTCTTTTATGGGGGCCTCTTGTCTATTGTTTCATTAGAAGTGTTTGCTGAGCTGTGTGATCTAGGACAGGACTTGAGAGAGGCGATTAATAACTCTGAGCATGGAAGAGCTGTCTTCAGGGCCAACTTCGAAAAGTGTGCCACTTCCTTAACGGGCAGGGGAGGAAGGAGCCAGAGCAGCATCAAATAAGGACAGTGAGGTGAGTGTTTAGTGGGCTCGTGCACGTGTTTGCGTGGATGCATCTAGAACAGTCTTGTCTTATTTTTGTATTCGGGGTAATCATTATGTTCCCATAAAGCTTTGGAGGTGGTAATATATATAATATATATATATGTATACCATGTCTGTGTGTTTAGATTTTAATGATGATTTAGGATAAGAGGAAGTAGCTTAAGCAGGGTTTGAAATACACCGATAGCCCACAGCCACAGCCATAACATTATGAGCACTGACTGGTAAAGTGAATAACACTGATTATCTTGTTATCATGGCATATGTCAGTGGGTGGGATATATTAGGCAGCAAGTTAACATTTTGTCCTCAAAGTTGATGTGTTAGAAGCAGGAAAAATGGGCAGCGTGAGGATTTGAGCGACTTTGACAAGGGCCAAATTGTGATGGCTAGACGA